CCTTTAGGTTATTTAGACCAAACGTTCATGTACTTACTGCCCCAAAATCATTTCTAAAAATTAAGTTAAAGGAAGGCTTTTAATGCAATATTGTGTACAGAATCAGGCCACTATAATTCCTGGTCTTGGTTTCCTTTTCTCAGTTCTTTTATGGGAATGAGTATGTCTGCTTAAGACTATAGAGAACTAGAGGACCCAAAATAAATCTCTGCTTTACTGACATTTATGGTTTGGTTTGGTTTTTATTGGAGTTTTATTTTATTTTATTTTATTGCCTGTTCCTCACATTGCAAAACGGAGGGTTCCTTCTAATTTAGGTGTTCCTTGCAATTCAAGATCTGATAGTTCCATTTATAACAAGAAGAACAACAAATTACAGGTAAATTTCTAATTATATTTTGCGTAAACTGTACTTTAAAAATTTGAAATATGAAAATTTGAAATACCAGACTTGAACATCATAGGTCATACCAAGTTATATACATTGAATTTTATGTGACTTTCGATCTGGAAAGAGTGCTAGCACTGCATTTTTCTATTCTCCCCAAAAATTCAAAACATTTTTCATGTAAAAATGGAAAAAATGTGTCCCCACTCCAACATGGGGTGAATCTGCACTGCAGAAATCATTCAATTTGACACCACCGTATCTGCTGTGGCTCAATGCTATGGAATTCTTGGATTTGTAGTTTTGTAAGACATTTAGTCTTCTCTGTTAGCACAACAAAACCATAAATGCCACAACAAACTGCAAATCCATGAATTCTAGCATGGAGTCCTGGCAGTTAACGCCGTGTCAGACTGCATTATTTCTGCAGTACAGATTCAGCCATGGCTTCAAAATTTCCAGAAAATTTACCTTTCTAGTTTTCAGTCCGATAATGACACCCACATATGAAAAATTCAGATCTTCTTACCCAAAGAAGTCACAGTTTCATAGTTCTCTTGCATAACATCCCTGTATAAAGCTCTCTGATAGGAGTCCAGGAGTGCCCACTCCCCCTCGGTGAAACGCACAGCAACCTCCTCAAAAGATACAGGTTCCTGGAAGAGGAAGAATACCATTGAGCACAGAAGGGAGAAATCAGAAAGTCTAATTTGTTTTAAAGCTCTTTAACCTTGGACCTATTATCAAGACTGGAATTTGTGAGACATGTCACCACAGTTCAAGAAGGATACTAACAAAACACTTGAGTGTTGGACTATGACTCTGGAGACAAGGGTTCAGTTCCTTGCTTGGCCGTGAAATTGGCTGGGTGACCTTGGGCAAGTCACATGCTCTCAGCCTCAGGAGAAGGCAATGGCAAATCTCCTCTGAACAAATCTTGCCAAGAAAACCACTTGATAGGTTCGCGTTAAAGTTGCCATAAGTAGGAAACAACTTGAAGGCACACAACACACACACACACAGACTGTAGTGGACAGAACAGGAACGGACTATCCAGGAAAGTAGAGTTTATTTTTACATCGATGGACTCTCAGAAAGGCTAGCCCTGTGACTTGAGGGCCCCTCCTTCAGCTAATCAACATCCTTATATACCATCTTACACAGCTAGTTTATAATTATATTAAAACTTGCATAATTCAACATTTTCATTGGTTACAAGATATAATTTCAATCCCCACCTCTCCTGATTACGTTACACTTCTACTTGCCATGTGTGAATTATTTTGGCATTTTAGGGCCTGAATAGACTTCCAGAAATAATCCAGCTTGAGATCACTGTAACTGCCCTGGCTCAGTGCTAGGGAATCATGGGAACTGTAGTTTTTTTCTGAGACATTAAGCATTTTCAATCAGAGAGTTCTGGTGCCACAATAAACTACAGTTCCCATGATTCCCTAGCACTGAGCGAAGGCAGTTAAAGTAGCCTCAAGCTGGATTATTTCTGGCAGTCTGTTCAGGCCCTTAGTTTTTCTTACTTTACTCCCAGTCCATACCATCAATCATATCTCTTTGGCTCTGAAACAGTCTGCCTGTCTTCAAGGTTGAAAAACAACATTCCTTGCTATCTTTTCCAGTGAAGCCATACTGAAAGCCTTTTACAATTGCTTTGCAAATGCACAGTTTTAAACATAGAATATGAGACCACAAGGATCATCCAATCCAGCCCCGTGTTAGCCATGAGTTGTAGTTTCTTTTACATTATTTCGTCCCCTACAAGACAAACCACAATGGGTTTAGAGGAGGTAACCAAGCTGGTAAAAAATCTGGAAAGCTAGCCTTATGAGGAATGGCTTAGGGAGCTGGGTATGTTTAGTCCGGAGAAGAGGAGGCAAGGAGGTAATAGGACAGCCACAGGTAAAACACTTGAAGGGCAGTCAAGTAGAAGATAGAGCAATCTCATTTTCTACTGTTCCAGAGACCAGAACATGAATCAGTGGGTTCAAATTATATAAAAAGATATTCCTCTTAAACTTATTAGGAAGAACTTCTTTACTGGAAGAGCTGTTTGGCAATGGAATAGACCGCATTGGAGGGTGGTGGACTCTCCCTCTTTGCAGGCCTTTTAACAGAGTTTGGATAGGCACACAACACACACGCAGAGCCACATATAGACTACTTTGAGCTCACTACAGAAAAGGTGGAATATAAATGTAACTAATAAAACACAAACATAAAATATATGCCAGCAGTAAGGCTTGCTATTCTTTCTGTTTTGAACAATTTGCCATTGCTCTACCTGAGATGGCATTAGCCATCAAACCAAAACTTTTAATGTTCGATGCAACAGAAGTAAATTTCCTTCTGAACCAAGGTCTAGATGCCTTTCCAAAAACTAGCACAGGATGGCAG